AAGCGAGAAAAATCATCTACAATTACAAGTATAAACTTACTACCACCGAAGCTTTCGATAGCTGAAGGGCCACATAGATCGATGTGCAGTAGTTCCAGAGGATCGATGATCTTTGTATTGATTCGAGAGGGGTGACTTTTACGACTTTGCTTGCCCATCTCGCATGTTGTGCACATATGTTCTTTGTCAAATTTAAGAATAGGAAGTCCACGCACGTGATCACCGAGCACCAGTTTATTGATATCTTTAAAGTTCAGGTGCGATAGTCTTCGGTGCCACAACCAACTTTCATCTGAGTTCGCCTTCGACAGCAAACATATTACAGGTTTTCCTTTTATAGGGTTGAGATTTAGAGGAAACATCTCCCCTTTTTGCTCAGATTTTAACAGAATTTTCTTCGTTTGTTTTTCAATTATTTCAGAGTCGTCATCGTCAAACGAGACTTTCAAACCTGTTCCTGCCACTAGTTGAGAAACGCTGATGAGGTTATGCTGCAATCCTTCCATGTAGGCTACCCTTCGTATTGAGAATTCTCCGTTGGTGATCATCCCATACCCTTTGATCGTGTCGTAAGAGTTGTTTCCTATTTCACACATCCACCATCCTTAAGGGACCGAAACTCCCTAAGTTCTTCCCTTCTTCCAGTCATGTGACGAGAGCAGCCACTGTCAATATACCATTCTTCGTCAAACTGCTCGTCACTGATAACCTGCAAAATTAAGCAGATTTAGGAACCCAAAGTCTCTTGGGCCCTTGTCAGTCTTTTACAGAATAGGGATTTGCAATCGAAAGATAAACCATATATGTTCTTTTTATTAATGTGGTTTCATCTTTTCGTTTGATGGTGTAAACTTTGATTTTATTTTTATTTTGTTTTAACCGGTGTGTGTTATTGTTAGTAGGTTTCTCAGTAGAGGTTTTCTTGGAAGTTCTAGGGGTAGCTGACTTTTTGGTGTTTTGGATTTCAGTATCTGAGTACAGCTTTCCTTTTCCTTTGACATCCTTCAGCGAGTTGGGTTTAGGATGAGAGTGAGGAGGATGGGATTTGGGACCGAAACTTGACTTTCGGTTCTGAGCTCTTGTGTTGGGACCGAAACTGGACCTTCGGTTTTTGGCGTAGTAGGAGCTGGGACCAAAACTTGTCTTTTGGTTCTCGTGACCACAAGTATTAGGGCCGAAACGGGTCGTTCGGCTTGCCTGACGGTACGATTGATGTTGATTGCTAGAATGAGACTTGGCATGTGCATCCTTTTTTAGAGTAGAAGCTTTTTCAGAGCGAACATAAGAGGGGTTTTGTGAGTGCCAAAACTGCTTTCTCTCATTGAGATTTTTCATGTATCTTTTGTTCCTCTGTCGTTTCTGTTCAGCAATTTGCTCTTGAGTCAAGTGAATGTTGGCCTTAGGCTTCGCTTTCTTCTCATGAGCACTGGTTGTAGTTGATGAATCGCTGGTAGCTTTCAGTGGTTCCTCTGGTATATCTTTTGTACCACTTGTGTTGGGTTTATTGAAGCTTGAGGGCTTGTTGAGGGGTTTGGGTATGTATCTTCCCTTAACTCTCCATGAGGTTTGCTCTGACAGACCAACTGTTTCTTCTGCATTGTCGATGGGAGCCGACCAGAAGAAGTTATCACACCCTTCAGCATTATCTTTGTCAGCCATTGATGTTAACTCTGCCGTTTGCTTCTTAGTTACACCAGTCACTACATACACCTGGTTTGGAGTCGTTTGAACCTTCTGATAGACAACAACCTTTTCTTTGAGCTTCTTTGATTTGTCCTTTGACACCCAAGCGTATTCAACCGAATTTTCAGATATGAGGGGTTTTGTTGGTTCGGGTTCGCTTTTAATGAATTCTGAACAATCGACAACGTCTTCTACAGAGATTTCACTCATCTCACTCTCCTCATCAAATTCAGAAGTGGTTTCTAAATTGATTGTATTTTCTGAACTCAATTTGGCGTTGGATGAGTCAAATTTTTGTATAGTCTCGGTCTTTATTTTTAATTTATCATTTTCGTATAGCAAAATTCTTAAGCATACACTTATATTCTTTAGACTCAATGAAAGATTCAATTTTGTCCAGTCCATATTTGTAAGTGACGGAGATTTCATCCGAGGAAATTATAGATTCACATTCAACAATGATTTCCTCCTCCTTAAATTCAAGGAAAGGCAAAATCATTTTATGAATCTGTTTTCCTATCTCACAATCTAAATGTAACTGAGTGATATTAGTATATAGACGTTTAGCAATCAAACAGAAAACATTTCGTTGTTTCAAAAATTTCAAATTGTCTCTTTGCAAATAAATAAGTTCATCCCTAGCCCTACTTAACTCTAACTCCTTCTGCTGAATCCATATTCTTCTCTCCTCACTCTTGGAAGACTCCCTGCTGAGTTGGTCAGTTAGGTTAGAATTGGCTAAGCGAGTTTGCATAAGACTACCACTTAAATTGGAAAAATTGGATTTTAAATCATTTAAGTCTTTTTCATAGTTTGTTATTGGTACTTTATGAGATTCTAGGATAGTTTGTACCTTCTTGATCAACTGATCGCAGTCGCTGATCTTTTCACTCATGGGCTTGGCAGCGAAGCATTTGTCTTCTATGACCTTCGCTTCCTCATGCTTACTTTCGGTTGTAACCATTAAGCATTTCTCAGCCGACTCAGCAACTCCTTCTCTCGCCACATATGCTCTTCCATGCGAGGGTATGCGTACCTGTTCATCCTCAGAATCTGTAGACCAAACTTCCACTCCATCGAACTCGTCATCAACAACGTTTTCCTGCACAATCAAAGCATTCATGGAAACGTTAGCAGTTTTCTTCTTCTTTATCTCCTCCAGCTTTCTCATGTAGTAAGTTTCATCATCTTCACCCTACTTCTTCTCAACCATCTTTCTTAGCATGCAATCCTTGGCAAAGTGGTTCTTGCCATGACAGTAGTTGCAATTGTACCCTGAGTCTCCCACAAGCTTACTCTCCTTCTTTTCATCGTCCTTTTGGGTGTTGTTCTTCGGTTCTTCCTTCACTTTTTCAGAACTATAGCTTCCCTGCCAGTTTCGGTTCTTGTTGATCGGGACCTTTCTGCGAGCAAACTTCTTTGGGTTTGTGACCATCATAACATATTCTTCGTTGGATAGATCACACTCAGAAAAATCAGATTCCTCCTCCTCGTTTGCTACATTCTTGCTTTTAGAAACGAGGGCCAGTGAACCCACACCCGAAACTACCTTCGCTTCCTTTGTTACCACGCTTTCATGAGATTTTAGAATACCCATTAGTTTCGCCGGTGAATATGATTTAAATTGCTCATGAGCCTTCACAGTCGAAACCACCGCCATCCATTCGGGCCTTAATCCATTCATGAAGGTAACCTTTTGTTCAATCACCTTCCTTTCAATGTCAAGCTTCATCATCTTACTGAGCAGATGATTGAATCGCTCGAATGTCTGAACAAGCTTCTCTTCAGGTTTTTGTTCAAAAGCACCAAACTCAGAGAGCAAAAGGGTTTGGATCGAGTGCTCTAGATCTTCATCTGTTGAATATAATTCTTTCAACCTATCCCATATTTCTTTAGCTGTTGTGCATGAACTCACCAGACGAAAAATATCGGATTGCAATGCGAATCGGATCATCCTCATGGATTTGACGTTGCATAACACCTTGTCTTTTTCATCGTGAGGCATCTTATCTACGTCCGCCAGGAGTTGGTTATACTCTTTTTGAGTCTTGACTGTTCGGTTTGTTCCAGAGTGAACAAACGGACCCAATGTTATTGCTTCCCAGATCAAGTAGCCATTGTCTTCAGATCCAACTACATAATCTTCGAAGTGATGCGCCCACACTTCATAATCTTGAGTGTAGAGAATGGGAATCCTTGTAGTTGATCCTATGTTGTTGGAGATGTTGATTGGATTGATTTGCGAGTCATCGTGAGACATGATGAACTGTTTCTGTTAGAATCAAACTTGTAAAGTTGAACTTAGGGTTTTATCAAACAATAGAGATACCGTCGACAGGAGGAAGACAGTGTCTTTATATTGATAAAAGCGGAAACCCTAAAGGATTCTTCAAACAGAAGAGATGCGTATGTATTACACAGTCTCCTACTCTAATACCAATTGTTGGAATATAGAGTTGTAGATCGATAGATTCCAAACAGAAAAACAATATTTAATCAAGCAAAGAATACGAGAATGGATCAATGGTGTCGAATGATTAATAACTCACACCTCAAAAGAGCTCGATGAAGAACTTCGACTGTAGAGGTGTGCTAGGGTTACAATGCAAGTAATTAATGAGAACGATTTATTTAAAAGCTATACATGCATGCAATATTTATATGCACTATCCCTAATGATAAACACGGTTGGACAGGCCCAAACCGGGTAAACAAAATAACGACACTAAGCCCATATGACGCAACACTCTAGACCCAACAAAACCTTATGTGGTCACCAGGCCCGAAGATGTTGAGTGATTTATGGATAATTGTAGCCCATAGTGTAATAAACTATTTTAAATCCTATAATATTTTTGCTATGCTTATGTTTCTCTATTAACGATGACATCACAGAGTTATTAATAAAACACATTTCCTTAGAAATGTTTGAACAAATTGTGCATTATAATTCTTTAAAAAAGATACTTTGAAATAAAATAATCATAATTAAAGCGGTCTTTTATGGCCATGAAAATGGGGATGTCACAGTACCCCTTTTAATTTGGGCGATTTCCTTTTTACAGATCCTGTCGTGAAAGTTGAGAACACTACTATAGGTGCAAGGAAATTGGAAAGCAATGCTTAAAGTCCTAATACCAAGAAGAGAAAATTTTCTTTAGAGGTGGGTCAAGAAGTATTCGATGGGCTCAATCATTTTGAGATCAAATAGAAAGTATTTATGTTGATTCAGTCTGTAAGTTTCGTGTTCTTCATTCTTTTGTATCTTAGAGATGTTTTCATAACATAATTTTTTTAGATTAAAGGTCACTTCCTTAATGTTGAAAGGTGCTGAAGAACTTAAGAAGGAGCTTGAATTCTCCAAGAAAGAGTTTGATATAAATATAAATCAGAAGGATAAGGAGTTTGTATCGAAGGTGAAAGTGTTGGTTGTCAAGAGAGAAGAATTAGAGAGAAAGGTAGAGGAAAGAGATGACTTAAAGGATCAAATTGATGATCTTGAGAACAAAACCGAAACATTTACGACTGTGTCAGTTTTGGAGGCTAGATTGATAATGGTGGAGTATGTTGAGAAGACTAGGGTTGAATACTGGATCAAGACCAAGTGGGATCAATCTATGAAGAAGTTCAATGGTTAAAAACATGAGGACGAGAAAGTTGGCAGACTGATTGTAGAGGACCAGGATGTTGAGGCTCTGAAGAAAGGTGAGGAGATGGATCCCTAAAGTATTTGGTTTTTGTTTGTTTGGTTGTTTGGACAAGTATATTTGGGTTATGTTTCAAGAAAATATTTGGGATGTATTAGTTTAATTAGGGCTAGTATGTTTGTGGGGACATGGAACTCTTTCTCTTTTGGAAAATGATGGACTGTTAAAATAATTTTCTCAACAAAGTTTTTTGCATGCTTGAAAACATATTTTAATAGTGGATTGACCCCATAAATTTTCCTTTGAAGATTGTTTTTTGGATTAAAACACTTAAGAATTCAAGATAGGCTTCAACGAAAGGTCTTAAATCAGAAACGTGAGGTAAAAACAAAATTTTAACTTTATATCCTAATTTTGATGATGCATTTGAGAAAATACTTTTTGATAAAAGTGTGTTTAAAAACAGAATTTTGATGCAAGGTGAATATTTGAGAAACAAATATTTTCTAAAGAATGTGGCACACTTTATAAAAGAAAGATCGGGACTATGAGCTATTGATAAGATCAAGGGAGTAAAAAGCAATTTTAGGGCTTAGAGAAGTTATAAAATTGTGTATCTTAAACCTGGTATATTGGAATGAAATCTTGGAATGATGTCCTAGGATGATATTTTAGGATGATATCTTGAGCCAAAGTGATTTCATTTGTCATCTTGAGATTACGTATTGGGAGATTATATTAAATATTTTGTTTAATATCTTGTGATATTATATTTGACAGACAACATTTTGTTCAATATCCTAAAGTATCCCCATTGTTTTAATTCTTAGGTTTTTGACCTTAGGTCCATATATCTCTAACTTAATGAACATGACCATGTTCTCACCGATTGAAGAAATTAAAATGTTGCAAATCTTGGGATAACCTCGTCTGAGGGTTGTTCCCTTGGGATTTTCCACATCCTTAACATATTCCCTTGGCTTGATTTTAACATGTTAATGTTAAATGTGTGGGTATAAGTTACCGGCTGTATGACATGCATGTGTCATTCTATTAAACATTACTTAAGTTCTATTAAATAGTTAGTAATATAGAGATTATCGGTTACTAAAGCGTAAGTCAATCCCCATATTCTTTTATTAGCACTAGAAATCGTGCGTCCAAGCAAGGTGTTTAAACCTGATCTTGTTGAAAGATTTAAGTCTTTAAACCTTAGAAGGTATCTTAGATACATTAAATCGTAGGAGGGGTGATCAGCCCCTAAAATGTTGGGCAAGATCTTTGATCTATGCAAAATAAAGATCTTGGGTAAAGGGTCGGTGTTAGCTTGGCTAACACCCCTGTGATGGTTAAGTTAGTATCAAGAATAAGAATGTATAAATGAATATTGAATTAAGGAAGAAAAATGTAGCTGAGTATCTTAGACCAAGATCTTGGATCTAGATAAAATAGATTTTAAGATGTATAACGTTCCAAGATATTGGTTACACTTGACCGTCCACGGTGGAGAGCCAGTATGCCCCCTTTCCGTCCTTTGATTCAATAAGGTAAGGAACCTCCTATTTTGGAGAAATTTTCCTTGCCCTATGTTCAACTCTGTTGTGGAATACTTTTCTAAGGACAAGATCACCTACCTAGAGTCGTCTAAATCTAATATTTTTGTTGTAAGATTTGACAACTCTTTGTAGGTTAGTATCAGGAATAAGAATGTATAAATGAATATTGAAATAAGGAAGAGAAATGTAGCTGAGTATCTTAGACCAAGATCTTGGATCCAGATAAAATAAATTTGAAGATGTATAGCGTTCCAGGATATTGGTAACACTTGACCGTCCAGGGTGGAAAGCCAGTATGCCCCCTCTCCAGCCTTTGATTCTATAAGGTAAGGAACCTCCTATTTTGGAGCAATTTTCCTTGCCCTATGTTCAACTGTATTGTGGAATACTTTTCTAAGGACAAGATCGCCTACCTGGAATCTTCTAAATCTAATATTTTTGTTGTAAGATTTGACAACTCTTTGCTGGTATGCGGATTTTCGGATCTTGGTAAGATCCCTAAGTTCGTCCACTCTGTCAAGATCTTCAACTAAGATCTTTATGTTTTCTTTTTGGTCACAGAGTCTTGTTGTAGCCGCCATGATCATAATTTTTGGGGAAATTAGATCCTCACTTCCAAATACCAAAGAATATGGTGTTTGTCCTATGGAATTCTTAGATGTGTTCTTATCTTCCCAAAGGACCAAGGGTAATTCTTCAGCCCATCTTCCTCTAGTTTCTATGCTTCGTTTCTTCAGGTTATTGATTTTGATCCTTTTTCTTGACTCAACTTGTCCATTTTCATGAGGGTGGACCGGTGTAGAAGTGATCATCTTGATTCCCTAATTCACATAATTTTTTTTGTGTTTTCTTGCCGATTAATTGAGATCCATTATCACATATAATTTTAGATGGAATGTCAAACCTGGTTAGGATGTTGTGTTTGATGAAGGATATTACTTCCTTCTCTCAAACATGGACAGATGCTTCATATTCTATCCATTTGGAAAAGTAATCAGTCATTTCTAACATGAAAACTTTACCACCGGGTTCCATAGGAAGTTTTCCAACTATATCCATGCCCTATTTCATGAATGGTCATGGGCATACTATTAAATGTAGAGGTTCAGCTTGCTAGTATAAAACATTGCTATGTGTGTGGCATGCATCACATTTTTGTGCATATTTCATTGCGTCTTTCCTTATTATTGGCCAATAGTATCATATACTCAATATCTTGTAGGAGAGTGCCTTGCCCCAAGTATTTTTGCCAGATTGTCCTTCATGAATTTTTTTACGATGATCTGGGCTTCATTATCTTCGAAACACCTAATATAAGGATTTGCAAAAGATTTTCTAAATAGTATATTTTAAATTATATTGAACCTTGGAGCTTTGATTCTGAAGGTTCTTGGGCATCTTTCATATTCAGGAATGGATCCATCTTGGAGATATTGCAAGATAGGATGGATCTAAGATTCTTTGGGACTGAGATCTTGGGTTCCAAGATCTTGAATAGGATCCACTTCCTCTTGAATGTATTTTATCATTGGTTTGATGATGTGAGATACATAGAATTTGGTGTTTGGATGGATCTTGAATGATGAACCAAGAATGGCTAGTGTATCTGCTTCGGTGTGATCTTATCTAGGTACCTATTTTATGTCGAAATCTTGGAACTTGGATGACAAGATCTTTACTATTTTCAGGTATGAAGTTGGTTTTTCATTTTTCACTGCATATTATCCATTAAATTGGTTAGTAACTAGAAATGAATATGTATGTACATGAAGTATTTTGATCCCAAGATGTTAAGCGATTTGTAGACCCAAGATGAGTGCCTCGTATTCTGCCTGATTGTTGGTTTCTCTACAATCACAACTCACTACATGGGGTATAATTTCACCTTGTGGGGATTTTAGTACGTCTCCAAAACATGATCCCTTGGAGTTATAGGCTCCATCTATAAAGAGAGACCATTTCTTTGTTTCTTCTATATCTTGAAGTCACTAAATTTCTTTCTCAATTTCAGGATGAAGATCCGGATTGAAATCAGCCAAAAAATCAGCTAATGCATGTGATTTCAATTTAAATCTTGGCACATATCTTAAGTCGTAAGTACTTAGTAGTACATACCACTTAGTCGTTCTTATTAACATCTCAGGTTTTCTCATCACATTCTTAATCGGGTAGTTAGTTTTTATCCAAATAGGACGAGTTTCAAAATAATGGCGTAGTTTAGTTGAAGCACAAACAAGATATAAGATTATTTTTTCAATATACAAATACCTTGTTTCAGTATCTAAGAAACTCTGACTTACGTAATAAACAGATTGTTGAGTTCCATCTTTCTCCTTGACCAAGATTGTGCTTGTTGCATTCTTGGATACAACTAAGTATAGGAGCAAGGGTTCTCCATCTTCAGGCTTGGCCAAAATAGGGGCCGAAGATAGATATTTTTCTGCTCTTGAAATGATTTTTCATGTTTTGGTGTCCATTTTAACTTTTTGTTCTTCCTCAATACATCATAAAAGAATTTGTGTCTTTCAGATGCCTTGTATATAAACATGTTTAAGGTTGCAACTTTACTTGTTAATCTTTGGATATCTTTGAAAGAAGATGGGGATTATAAGTTTAAGATAGCCTTAATTTATTTTGGGATAGGTTCAATTCCCTTCTTTGTTACCATGTAGCATAATAAATTCACTGCTTTAACACCAAAATGACATTTAGATGGTTTTAGTTTCATGTTGAACTGATCCAAGATGTTGAATTCTTCCTTGAGATGTTGGAGGTGATCTTTGGCTTTCTTGGATTTTACATGTCATCTATATAGACTTCGATGGTTTTTCCAGGTTGATGTTTGAACATTTTGTTTACTATCCTTTGGTATGTTGCACCTATATTTTTTAAACCAAAAGACATTGTCGTATACCTGTTGGAGTTATAAAGGCTGTATCTTCTTGGTCTAAAGGCTCCATTTGGAATTGTTGAAATCCAGCTGAAGCATCCAAGAAGTTAAGGATCTCATGACTTGTAGTTGCTGTTGGATAAGGTGTATAAGTCCATAACTATTTCTGGTATGTACTTGACCCGACCCGGCATGGTCCATTTGGGTTGCATGGCACCATGCAATTGGATAAACTAAAATGAGAGAAATAACACTTATGGTTTATTAATATATTATAAGTTCGAATATATTAATAATATTATTTAATTAGTTTGATCAAGAATTAATTTAGAATTAATTAAGTGATCAAAAGATAACTAATTAAATATATGGGTAGATTATGTAAATCTTCCATATCTTATATAGTGGGCTAAGAGGCTCCATGGATTATCAAGTTGGGTTTCACCCATAGGATGCTCCATGGGAGTTACAAACCCATGGGTCATGGAAATGAAGAGTCATGACACATTAGGGTTTACATGGTGTAACCCTAGATGTGTCAACAC